TATACATTATAACGTATAATATAATATAATAATAATAATTTTTTTTTTCTATGTTCGAGCGAAGCGATCATCAAATTTTTATACTTCTGTAATACAAACAGTATATTGTGCAGTTCTAATATTTCTTTAGCGCAAGCTCTGCATAACTTATGTACAATAAATAGACCTCGAACTCGAATTCTTGAAGGAATCTACCCCTCCATACCCAAGTGGTGGACWATTTTCATCCCTGCAGGGGCTTTGGGAGCTGATAACCTAACTAACCTAACTTGTTGGTAACGGTATTAATTATACAATTTAACAATTTAAAATTTGTTTTTGATCAATATAATATGAAATTGAATAAAGTCAGTTATATTAAAATAATAATTCATATTTTGCAGCTATATTAAAATTGTGTGTGTAGTATTTGTTGTGTGAGTGAGTGGTTTGTTCAAAATAGGTATTATTTGAATTTTCTAAGTTTTCAAATATTGTTAAATTGGAATAGTAGGTAAATTAAAAAGTTTTTTTACATAAATCTAAATAGGAACTTTGTAAATCCATAAAAGTTGTAAGCTTTGTGATATACGTCAAAAGTCGTTTCCGATTTGCCCACCTTATCCTAAAAAATGTATACATTTTGAGCTCCTCTACTCATTATTAAATATGATATGTCACTTAGCTAAACCCTCGGCCCGGTTCTGATAATAAAAATAATGATCGTGTCGATTGTGATGGTGCCAGTAAGTTCGACCCGCGACTATAGACAATAATATAATAATATTATGGACTATGGTTATTGCTATTATTGTGTACATACTTGAAAAGTGTTTACCGAAATTAATCTCTATAATCAGCTGGAAATTGCCGCACTCCCGTTTATATTAATATGTATGCCTACTATCACACGACAATACGTTTACATTATCTTTAATCGTGATTTACTGATTAGTGATTTGGTCCATGAGAACATCAGTCATCAGTGACTCGGAGTCTTGGACATTGGCAACAAGATTGGCTGGTWATTCTACCTCGATCGGGCGACRGGCACTTGCCACCAGCTGYCCTCCTTTGCATAGCCGGCAGCCGCATAGGTATCACTGCACCWAGTGCACCATAATTAGTTTAGAGTGTTATCACGACGGTCGTCCGTGACTAAAGACCATGTCGAAATGTCGAATGTTTTGCGAAATCTTTTCGGACGGCACCGGCTCCCACAGGCCTCGACCGTGCTCACGAATTACCTGCGACAAACTAACGAGCCACCGTGGACATCGTTTTTCATTAAATACACGTCGGTAATCGACGACCAAAGAGGCCGGTCTCACTTCAACTGGAAAACTGGTGACTCAAACTATCACGTTTTACGTTCCTGCTGTTTTCCGTACATTAAGTACCACTGCACCAAAAGGCCAYACGAAGATCTACGAGTAGAAGACCGATTGTTTAATATTTTAAAGATCGTCAACCTGGGTGAGCGACTGGCGGTTTAGAGAACTTATCGGTTTGTGTATACCTAACCTAYTAACGACGGTTTCGTGATTAACGATTCGGAACAAACGGTTGAAATCTAATAAGTTATTGTTTGCCGTAGTATTCGGTTTTGATAAATAGCTTGAATATTAATACCATATGATAATTCCATTATTCATAGTACAATTTTTTTGAAAAAAAATTAATTAGGCAACCTTTCAGGTTTTATCCAATTTAGGTATTCATTTTATGATATCATTTATTGTATTGYGTTAATACATCTACATCATATCTTCATATATAATGAAATATTGTGGTTCATGATTAATCATTATTCATTAGGTAAATAAATGTGTTAGTTTAGTGAAAATAAATGTTTCCTCATTTTTCTCTAACAAGTTGCCTCAGCTTAAAATTGAAATTAAATTTGTAATATGAAGATTATGTTTATTAATTGAACTTTAATCATTAAATTATTTCACTGAAATTGCAATAAATGATACTATATTATAATAAATAATGAATGATAATAAATGATTTATTTTCTCATACATTTAATTAATTACATATAACTGGTTTCATTTAAAATATTGTTAAAAAATTTGTRTTCTAGAAACTTTATAATTTGAAAAATAACTCATAGAATTGGTTTTTATTTATGTACCTATAATATAACGGTTTTTTTTTGCTTTTATTAAATAAAATATAATTTTTCAGGTATTCCATTGCTTTTATATGGATTATCTGCTGTTTTTATGATTTCATATAAAGAAATAGTGAAGACACCTGAAGGAGATGTTTACGTTTATTTTCTTTTAAAAGAAGACAAAGGCTCAATACATTAAAACAATTTCAATATTGGTAGTAGGTATGTTTTAGGCAAAAGTGAAATACATGTTGTTACTTTATGAAATATTTAGGGTTATTTAATCTAAGTGTTAAATATATTATAAAGAATGTTTATAAAATAGTATACCTAATTAAATATAGAAGAAAATATTGTCAGGAAAAAAATATGGCTTGAAATGTGATTAATATAAATCTCCTTTGTCCTGTAACATTTATATTATAAATGAATACATAATTTAAAAAATATCAAGTAAAAAATTACTTCCACACAAAAAAATGATAAAAACATGACTTAACAACATATCTGTAATGAAATTGTAAATAAGATAAAAAATTCATCTCTAGTTAACAGTTTAAAGTTACCTTAGATCATATACTATAATATAATCTAAGATATATACTAGACATTTATTTTTTATATTGAAGGAAAAAGTAACACAAATACCTTAAAACTTTTAATTTTATGTATTTTATAAAAATATTTATCAATAACCAACAATAATATATGTAACAATTCAAATTCAGTATAACATTGTTTAAAGTATAAAGTATCAATATTATAATTCATAGTATCTACAGTAGTTTGATTGATAAGCAATATATTACTTACATTTACCAAAAATGTTTAAGAATTAACATAAGAAATTATAATTATAATAAAATACCTATCACACCAACATATTTTTTTTTATGTAACTATTTTTCTGTAAAATAATATTCATTGTTTAATAATCAAAATATTAAATTAACAACAATAAAGATATAAATGCTCATCACAGCAGGGTTTTATATAATATATAGATTCCGTTGTAAAGGAAGATATTCTAAATTTCTAATCATTATCTGGTACCATCATGGCACGTCCAGTTTGTTTAACAGTAGATTTGACAATGTTTTTGGGACCAAGCTCCTTTATACTTCTAGTGAATCGCAGCCCATGGCCAACTGTTTCAAATGTGTCTTGAGTCACTTCACTAACATTATTGCCAAATCTATAACATTTTTTTCGTATGGAAAAAATTCTAACACTAATGTTATATAATATCTTAACTTACTTGTGATGAACTATAAGAACAGTATTATTTGAAATACTGTTAGCCAGCATCATTCCAGATTTCTCAAGTCCATCATAAACAATGCTAAAACCTTCAATTGCACCAGCCGCTATATCAAATACATCTGTCATTTTTTGGGAAGCTTCATTTTTATCCATATTAGTTACTCCTGTCAGAATCTTAGTTCCGCCTTTATGAACATGAGGMGCGAGGAATTTTCCAACAGCACATGATGCTGTACCTATTTTTCCGGCTGAATAAAACAATTTTCATATTAATTTAAAATTTAAAAAACTTGAACTTAATAATTAATATATTATATCATACCAACATAACATGTTACATCTGCAGCAGTACTTGTTACATTTTTTGCAACTTTAACACCTTTTTTCATAGGAGAGCAAACATGTGTATCACTTTGAGAAGGATTAATGTAGTTAAGTAAACCAGGAGTGGAATTGTTCATGAAATTTGTTGTTTTTTCAGCACCCTTCACTAATCCATTTGATAGAAAAGTAGCTCCCTTAACAATGTGTGCAGAGATGTTGTGACCTTTTTCTCGGGCCTTTCCAAACTCTTTTCTCAACGATTTTTTAAGTATATCTTCTAATACATCTGTAAAAAGTTCCAAATGTTCTGGAGAAACTAACACACCAATAGACGAGTTTCTATTTTCAATATCAGGAAACAGAAATGCTCCAAATTCTGTTCTAAGACAAGGTGAACCATTGGGAACAAGTGGATAGTAAATATCCTCTATACAAAGGAAATGCCGCTGTGAGTTATCTGCATTTGAACCTAAACAAAATTCAATGTAGTATTATAATATTCTCAAATAAAATAAGCTTAATAATAATTAAGTTAAATTATATTTTATTATGTAGTTACCTTCGAGCATAAAAATTTTAACATTTGATTTCTCTGATGGTGATGTAACTTGACCATCAGAGGCAATGAAAAATACTTGTGAATCATCACAGCTAACTAATAGGGTTGCCATTGAACTCTGTTCAATGTCAACACGTAAATCAGCGAGCATTGCTGATAACTGATTGTATGAAACTGGAAGTTCTGTTTCTGAAATATGGGATTGTTCTTCGTCAGAACGCGTAGCTTCCTGATATGATGGAGGACTTTGCAAAGGCCTGCTATCTACAGCCATGTTAGAACCACTATCCCTTTGCAGCTCGACAATATGGTTTAAGATCTCTTTTCTGAAACAAAACATGTCATTACCTATAGTTCAATATAAATTGCAATAGTTGTGAACAGTGAACACTTACTTTTCAGTTTTCAAGTACTGTAGTATGTTGTCAACCTCGGTCCATTCAAGACTCAGGTCAGTCGGATGAGTAAGTGGAACCGAGAAGACATTGTCGATGACGTTCAGACACTGTTCGTACTCCAACAAAGCCTACCAACAGATATCAGTAAGTCAAGTCAGTCATATTTGAATTACTACGCACTCACCAGATTCGTTTTGCCTTGGGTCTCGAGACTCTTTGCTTCGCGCAGAGTGGCGAAAAAYTTATCTGTAGCGGTTTTCACGCGACCATATAGTTCGGCGGTCTCACTCTGACCAGCCATGTCTCCGGGAGTCGAGCCAACAGATCAAGCACTAAACAAAAATATCGGCGTCGATTTCAACTAGAATATTTATTGATGCCGTTGTGAATTTGTGATCAAGACAAGTGACAACTGWCTTACAAGTTACAGCACTTACGACTACCGACGAGAAATGGAGAAATGAAAGTGRCGTTACCACTTATCACAGCAGATCGAATATTGTGAAATGTTTCGTAATCGTAATTCGTAATGACATATAGAGTTCGCGTTCCTTGACCTTACTCGGACGAAAAACGCTGAAAATCGAAATTTGAAATATATTCTGCTCCGACTTCTCCGGTCAGTGATAAGTGATAACGAGCGCCGATTGGGCGCGAGTTGTATCTTGTATGTCGCCTGTACGAATGTACGATGTACACTGAAGACTGTAACACGTAATACCTATTAAAGATTAAATAAATTTAACATTCCGTGTCAGTTGTGAGTCAGACTGTTGTGAACAGTGGACGCTCGTCACTCATAAATTTCGACTATCATCGAATATTTWAATGATCTGTTGTTGTATGACTCATCACCCACGCAGCCTATGTCATTTTTGCATATTGGCGTTAGTATACTAATAGAAAAACGCCTCATCATTAAAACCTATCTACCTCATTACTTCGTTAGTCATTAATAATAATAATWATTATTTTTAACTATTTATGTTAAAAATATATCTACACTATTGTAACTTAAATTTTTTAATTATATTACTTACTATATACTTATATTATTTAGTGTATACTAATATGTATAATTCGATTTATACGGAGTCATCCATTCGGGATGGGCAACATTAAAAAAAAAAAAACTATTGAATAATAGACATAAAAATTTTTTTATAACAATAAGTAAAAACTTATATTGGTAGGTATTAACTTTAAATGTATGCATTATTATTCATTCATTTATAATTATAATGAACAATAAATGAACCTACGGGTAACAATTTAGTTGGTACTTATATAAAACAAGTCAGAGTAAGTAGGTTAGCCTAGTTGTACTAGGATAAAATTAAAAACATTTGTATAAAGAAAAAATATGCTTACCTACAGGTAATAATCATAAACAGAATTTAAAACGCTTAGAATGTTGTTTAGCAAACAAATCTATTACGTATTTTGGTTTTACATTAATTTACATTTATTTCACAATGAATATTTAGTAGGTAATACTAATAAATTCAAACAATTTTCTACCATCGTCGTTACAGGGTGATTATTTTATCAAACAACACTCATTATTTCAAAAACTATTGAATTTTTTCAAATTTTTTTTTT